GAGGTAGGACAAAATATGTATGACTGTGATAGACCAAGGCAGCAACTTCTAATGTGGGTTAAGTTAAACCCGTGAGTTCTGGCTAGCCCACCGGTTCTGAGTCAGATGAAGCTTTAATAGTCTCGGGACTGAAAACAAAAACATCAGTTAATACAAGATACAAGACGAACTTCTAATGTTTCACGAATGAGCAGGTGCGTCGAAGGAAGTACCTTGGCCCCACAAAAAACCAGTGAGGTATAACTTTTCTAACCAATCTCACATAAAAATGAATCTGCATTCTTCGATTCCCTGTTTAGTTTCGAAAGTGGAGAACTACAGACTTCATCTGTGTTAGCAAGCCTCGTGGAGAAATGTAAAAGCAAGTAATTGATCTTGAGAAATCGATACTTTATTTTTGGAAAAAAAATGGGCTTAAAATTTCAACGAACCTTTTTACTTTCGGAAGTAAGAAAGAAGATTTTTAAAATTTTATATTTTCTAATATTTTGGATATGATCAAATTGTACGACAGTATAAGGCGGCCAGGCATTGTTTTCCGCAGAAGCTAATATGGGGTTCCCTTCTGTTGCCACATACTACGCAGTTATTGCGAGCTCCTAATTGAAAGGGCCGCCGCGATTAGCTATGTAGAAGTAAGAAAGGAAACTATCGGTAAATATGATCGCGGGCTTCGTGTGCAATACTAATGCGTGAGTAACGAACCCGACAAAGAACGATGCGCTGTGAATATTCAAATCATGGATCGGTTCATCGCAAGATGGACAAAGAAAGAGTGTTTGTGTCATTATATTTTGGTCTTATTGATAAAAGTACAATAGAATATTGTTAAACGATTCTCAGGTCGTTATACTTATCGTTGATTTGTGATTATTAATCTGCATTAGCGGTCTCGTAGTCGATCGTAGATTGGGTTACGGTCGTAGTAGTCTTGAGAGGTCGTGTTTATCAGTGTGGTAGCCACAGTCTCTATGTTCTTATTATTGCTACAAAAAAATAGACACTATCCAAAAGCATGAAGCAGGCAAAACTAATGTTGGATAATGAACGATCTAAATAAATATGTTTATATAGATAGACATTAGTCCGCTAGTGTAGCATAATTGTGTTCAAAAATGTTTATTATTTCGGCCATAATAAAATAGCTTAAACAAAACAACACGCTTAATTTTCGAAGTATGACACTATAATATGTATACTTCAAAAAAAAATCAGCTAAGCCTTGTGGTACGAAATTTTTAGAGAGACAAAAAAATGTGGTGAAGCTGCCTTGAACTATTTAACGGAGCGAAGAAAACACAGAACGAGAAACATTAATCATGTTGTCGACCCATCCAGCAATTTGCAGCATTTTTTCCTCGATTCCTTTCATGTAACGGAGACTGACAAGTGTTTACTCAGGAAACACTTCCCGTTTCTGCTTGTTTAATGATCGTTCCGTTCGGTATCGTGGTTTTCAATTCATTGGTTTATTTACCTTTCAGGACATAACAAAGTAAATAGGTCGTAAGCTTTTGGTTGACTGGTTAAAATAACGAGCCAATATTAATAACACACTTTATTGATATATTACTTCCTATTTGCGTAACTATAAAATATGTAGACGTTTAACAGTTTTCGTTGGGAACAAATTAACATCTTTATTGATGTGTCGGATATGAAAAGAGTAGCTAAGACTTTGATGATGATGAAACATTAAACTAATTAATGAAGATCGTCGAAGTAAACAGTATTTATACTTTTTCGTCGAGAGAGTTTATACCAAAGACCCACTTTTTGGTTGGCGACATTTTCGCAACTTCTGGTGTTGTTAGGATATAGCAGTCCATGGGCACAGGTTAATGTACCGCTTGGTAAAATTGCTTTGAAATAAATTTGAATGAAGTCAAGAATGATAGAATATTTGATAGGTTTATGTTCATTACTCTATTGCGTTACTTCTCCTTTAAACTATCACATTAGGTTTCCGAGGCTGCGTAGTGCAGAATAATTTGCATAATTTACGAGTCAGATTTTTGAATAGACCAAGTCACTTGCCTAAAGCCTGCAGACGACAACTAAACAATTCATCTATTTTTTATTAATATGAAAAGGGAGTAATGGTCATTAGCAGAGTTCGAATAGAGCCGATAGGGCAGTTATTACGTCTAGCAGACAGATCTGGTCCAAGGCGCCCGCCGTCGGCACGAGAAAATTTACGGGGCGCACATGATGGCGATAGATAAAATCTCTACTCATTCCTATTAACTACGACTGAAATAAAACTCTTCATGGTAACATAAAAATCTTCTGAATAAATGTGAAATGGATTTAAAAACTTTCCCAAATTATTGGACAAACATTACCACATTTAGCGTAGTAAAAAAAAACTAACTAAAGCAATAATATAGGCATTTCAAAATGGCATCGGTAGAGATGAAATATTACTCTTAAGTATATACTTTTTTACTAAGTGCATATTTCAAATAAACTTATAAAAAGTAAACTTATATGACTCTATTATATAAATGTACTTCGGAGTAAGGTGGAAAGGCAGACAATCAATAAGAATCAGCCTTAATTATATGAAAATGTTAAAAAGTAGTCACACGTGAACTTAAAAACTACCTTAATAATCTCGGTAACAAATTAAGAGCTAGTTCATTGTTGAAATTATCTGAGAACGAGAGAATTTAAAATAAATGAATCAATGATGAACAAATGCATGAATTTTCAGCTATATCATATCTTAGCAAACGCTGTCAAGAATATGTTCCGTGCTGTTGTTTGTTACACCAGCCATTCCAACTTTTGAATGCGGTCTACGATAATATTCACTGCATCGCGCCACTCAAATTTCCTGTTTTCCCGCACGAGTTGAAATTGAATTGCTGCGGTTGGAGTGCGACTGTGGGAGGTGCAAAAGGTGAAAATATATAGAAATCTAAACGTGAGCTTGAATAATGGCTAAGAAGAGCCTCTAGATATTTCTTCTCTACGTTTTCACACACGTCGCGGGCCAATTTTCTCGATCCATTGAAAATACGTAACCCCAATAACACCAGGTGCCAATCTTTGATTGGGGATTTATTTATACGGAATAACAACTGCTCGTGTTTATCGCTTTTTCCTAGAGAAGAAAACAAATTCCTTGGTACATTATTACTAGTACTTATCGTAAATAAATGTAAGAATGAGGACTAGAACATGATTTATTTCCCTACTTTATTTATGTTTAAAATATTAAATTTTTTCATTTTGGCAGAAAATCTATTTAACCAGTATAACAGCTCACCTTTATTTTGTTTCACAAAATCCCGCATGTTATCTTTTCTAAATTATCTTCCATAACTAAGAAATGAACATTAAATGACAGCTGCGCGCAATCCATAACAAAGATAATTGTTTTGCGCTGCGGTACTAAAACCATTTTTTCCTTGTGTTTTTACCTATGATGTGTTCACGAGTAACGAAATTTGACGTTAATTAATTATAAGAGGCTGCCATACAATCAAGTTAATCACTAGAGCTACTTTGTCAGAGCTATTTAAAGAAAGAATTCTTGGAGCTAATTCCGAAATTCTCAAAAAACTAAGCCGTTAAATCGTTAGTGTCACTTGTATGATTGGTATCCGTGAAGATACATCGATTAAGTTATGCTCATAGTAAATTGCCTTTAGATGAACAGCTAAGTCTATAATAATGCTTCAAGAGTGTTACATCTTGAGGGCCTTTATTTATTTTACGATAGAATATAATTTGACATTTTTGTACTTGTCGACCCGTCTACGATGTCCAAATAAGATGGTAATTATGTTCTATTACTTTATTAAAGTAACATTTAATATGTGTATTTTACTTTATAAAAAGAAAACAACAATACCTGCAGATTATACAAAAATATTCAATAAAACATAATAAAGAATTATCTCTGTTATTTTATGGCCTTACATATTTATAATCTCTTTCTCTTTTCCTAATCATATAAGATTGATATTACTATTAGAATTGTAAATGTTAAAGGCCAAGTGAAAACACACCCTGTCAGTATTACGTGAAGGTCACCGCCAAGCTTTATGTCGATGTCTACGTCAACCTTTTGTTTTGAATCCAGCTCTATGTATAACATTATTTGCGTATACTTAGTATAAAAATGTAAAATGCAACAACTACGTAATTTCCGGTATGCATATTAAAATTCTAATTTCATTATAGAGTATTGTATAAACAATTATATTACACTGAAAGAAATAGTTTAAAATGTTGTCTATACTATTTTTACCGGATTATATCGTTTTATTGACTACTGCTACAATGATGATACATTTAAATATATGTAGTATTCGCGTATTGTATATACATACGAACAAATAAAATAATATATCAAAAATATTAACATCTTGTTTTATGAGATTGACAAATACAAAACATACTCGTATGTATTTATTTTGTTGACTAGATTTAGTTTAGTTTAGATTAAGTTTGTTGTGATCAAAGTTTTTATTTATTGATCATATTCTATTAAAATATTATCTGAAATGGTTACCAAATACATTGTTCCTCGCGACAAATATACTAAGTTAGCAAAAGACCGACGTCATAATCATAATATAATAAAGGTAATCCCAGTTTCGAGCTGAATTATGGCTTCCCATTTCGCTATGTTTCATAATGACGACAGTAAAAATCTATTTACCATTTTGAAAAAAAAAAAAAATACGCATCTCTAAGTACCTTCGAACTTTACAGCAATGTGTAGAAATATAATAATTATGATGATGCTAAGATGAAAGTATCGAAGTTCGATTTTCAAATATAGCTTATGACCGCAAAGGTAAATTGCGGTCATAAGGTGGAATAAAAACGAAAGTGAATTCGGCTTTGATATAATTAATTCCTGACAATATAGTGGATGAGAAAATATTTTCGATAATCTTTTCACACATTTCTTAATTACCGAACACTAAACAACCGCTGCTTGTTGCCGTTTGTTTTAGTTCCTAGCGTTAGTGGAACGCAATATGGTCGCCAACATGAGTCTCCAATACAGACAGATGACGATGTTCGCGCCCACAAACGAAGCTTTCCAGAGGTACAACGGTGAAATGGACGACAACTTAGTTCTGTACCACATATGTAAGTTTTTATTTTTTTACATATGGTAGCATATCTGCCACATCCGTAGATTTGCAGATATATTCCCATCTTTCAATAAAGTGGGCCTGAGGTAGCCGCTTCACTCACCGGGCGAAACGCGGAAGTGTAACACTTTTACTTCTCGCCGGCCTTCTGTGAGGTCGTGGTTCTTACCCGGACGGACCTGCCCATTCTGCAACAGCGAAGACTGTTGCTTGGCCCTAACACAGTTAAGTAAGTTTGTACAAAATTTAACTTAGCAATTTTAAAGAATGTTTACGGAATTTCTTACTTTATCATTAAACATTTACAGCCAATCTTGCTACGACGCTATCTAACCTAGACAATACCATATCATCCGAATTGGATGGGAATCCGCCCTTGTGGGTAACACGACGACGCGATACAATGCACGATGACGTATACGTCAATAATGCTAAGGTTTACATAACAAGATCCTATCAAGCCGTTAACGGAAACGGAAAACTTCAGGTAGGATACTATTTTTTCATTTTAAGAACGTTTTTAAATCATTTTCTTACAATTTCTTTACCTGAAATTAATCAATGTTAGTAATTGTCCAATTATATGATACACAGTTTATATGTATAAATACTGAGTTTGCTCATATTATTACGCACTGTTATAATTTATTTTAATCATTATTTTTTTCTATTAAATATATTAAGTTAATATTTACCTATTTTGTATTACTTTTAACGAAATAGTCCAATCTGACACAGATACTCCATTGATATTCACAGCCCATAATGCGTAAAACCATTACGGGCGGCAAAATGGCTCAATTCCATGATTGTTCATTAAAAGGATTGTAAGTGAATACATTATGCAAATCCTGTACTAATAATAAAGCTAACAGTGATTAAGATTCCATTACACTGAATATAGCTTTTGTCTCGAATTGTAATCTTCTGTGTATTAGTTTAATGTGACTAATTGATGTAATTAGACTATAGCAGATGTGAGACTTCTGATAGTAATGGAGTGAATTGGTTCTCATTATAGAATTATGGCTTCAGTAACGTGTCAAATAACAAAATTATTTGAGATTAATTTTCAGTCTGATTGGGAATATTTGGGATTGATGGCGACCGCACATTCGACGGAATTTAAATTATTCATTTAAAATATTGGCTTTAAAATCTTTTGTAAAAGTTTGTAAGCAGATGCCAGTAGCCAATAATTAATTTTACTACTAATTGCTGACTATTGGGGTTTTATTTCATATTTTGTAAGATCGATTTATTTTACCAAGTCAATATCTATCCCACCTAGATCAGATTATTCAGGTAGCTCCAATTATTTAGCATATTGTAAAAAAGTACAGAAGTAACACTAAAAACACAATAATTATTGAATGTTTCTTTGTATATTTATTACCAGTTTGATTTCGATCGCAGGTTTTGCACGTGATAGATCAAGTTCTACAGCCTCTGCAGCCGCACGGTCCAATATCGACCAGCACTCCTGTCTACAATCCAAATGCATATCAGTTCTTGGAACATTCCGATGTATTTAATATTGGACAACATAGATTGAGGTATGCAAAGCTGGGTTTCTATCTTAAGAGGTTGTGGATAAGAGATTTTATGTTTCATATTTCAACGTTTCTTGGTTGCGAAGAAGATAAATTACAATGAAATAAATGACAATTATTATCAAATTAGTATCCGCAATCCGGAGGCTTGCCAATTTTGTAAACTCAATGAACACCTTGTTAGTAGTATTCTTGCTATTAGTATTCTTAATTAAATAGGCTTATGTAGGCTTAAGAACTACGAAAAACTGTTTTTGCCAGCCTAATTCATGGAACTAGTCTTGGAACATTAGCCTAGTTTTTCGAACATTCGGATGTATTTAATATTGTACAACATAGATATTTAACTAGGTATGTGATCGTTTGTATATCTAACTAAAATAAATGTATTTACTTGGAACGTAGGTCTTTCCGGCAAAAAGTAAATCAACTTCAGAAGAAAGAAGTTTTCAACGCTGACGGGAGACATACATTTTTTATTCCCGTAGATGAGGGATTCAAGGTAGGAAAACTAAAAATAAAATAATGTTGCTTCGTTTTATTGAAAGTTGAATCTTTTATTTGAGCGGTTTAGTTTCTATTGTTTTAATAGTTATTTACTGTAATATCATAATTTATAATGATGCAATAAATTAACTTTTCTAATATTTTAGCCAACAGCTAGGTCGGACTTTATTGACGAGAAAGTGATAGATGGGCATGTTATTCCTCATCATGTTTTATTTACGAAAGCGACGCCTGATGGTCAGGAATTCGAAAGCATGGCTTTCAGTGATAACGTAAAAGTCATCATTTCCTTCAGCATTTCTGTAAATGGACAAGAAGAAATTAGTAAGTTGTCTAATATTATGAACTTTGTAAAGTTTTAGATGTGTTGCCACCTTTAAAAAAAGTTTGACCCCGACTATCTCATTTACCAAACGAAACGCCAAATTGTAACACCTCCACTTCACGCCGGTCGACTGTGTGGTCGCGGTATCTACCCAGACGGACCCGCCCATCCGTGCAACAGTGAAAACTGTTGTGTAGCTACACAACAGTTTTCACTGTTGCACGGTTAAATTTCACCCCATTTTCACCAAGTATGACGTAATACTCATATTTTCTGCAAATGTATAATCTAAGCTTGAGCACGACGTAAGTAATTTTACTGTTGGCCTTAAAAACAAGGTTTCTCTTCTTTAAACTTAACACAATAGAATAACTAACACTTCACAAAGATTTTGTTAGTCCCGCTATGCCATAGGTGACAAGTTTGTTACCGTATACTACGATGACTCCACGGCGCAGTTTCCAAGGTATTGGCTTCGGCGCTGGACTCATGGATTTGATTTCGGCAAGAGATAACTATTTGTGTGGCCAACAGATAATTGTTTCGGATCTGGGTTTTTATCATTGAGAAATTTATATAATTATGTAAAACGACGTTACAACACAGGATAATGTTATCCTACAGTAAGGTGGCTATGTTTTCAAAGGGAAGACTACAACAGATCTTCTAGGTCACATTGGTCATGGGAACTTACTACCCAGTCTCCTCCACACAGAATACAATACAAAAAATACGATATAACGCACAAATGCTACACTTTTCCCGCATGAAAACAGCATTGACACGCTTCTCGGGCGCAAACCCGTGATCTGAAATAGATTTATCTTGCGTTTAAAGGTCGATAAACGAAATATTAATTCAATAAGATACACTTATGTTTTGCAGCTTATGTAAAGTCTAATACGGTCGCCGGAGATGCAAAACACAGTCGAGGCGTGGTGCTCGCTGATATTGTGAGAGCGAATATACCTGTGAAGAACGGCGTCGTACATCTTATACAGAGGCCCCTAATGGTGGTGGATACATCTGTGATTGATTTCTTGAAGGTAAATAGTTCTTGGGTTACTTATTACGCGTAAAGGTATACACGAAAACCCTAGTTTATCTAATGAAAATCGGATTCGTCTGATATTTTTGTCATTCAGACTAAACCAAATATTGCATCCCCGTTTGACAAATGTGAGCTGAAGTGTGAAAAAGTCGTTAAAGCATTCAGAACTTTTATTGAATATGTAACTGTTCACAGTACGTACCATTCAATAAAAGTTTTATTTTTTTGTTTGGTATTTATTTTGAAACAAAGGCGAAATGATACGCAGTAACTCGTTCTCGTAATTTAGGTAATTTATACGATGGTTAATCAATTTGGTGAATAAAGGGGTAGCACGTTTATAATGTTTATTACACCGTTCATGCTTTATGTGTACTATATGTAAGACTGGAGATAAAATAAATATATGGATGACTTTCTTAATTAAGGATCTATATAGTCAAAAAGTAGAAATAAAACGGAATTTAATGAGCATCCAAATCGAAACTAAGCGCACGATTAAAAAAACTAGTTATCCGCAGAGTATTTCCGAATGAAAAAAAAATTAAGCAATTTTCTTTGGCATAAAAATAAGACAATTAGAATTTAACGAAAGAGTTTTTATGTTGTAACATTTAATGGTTATTTTTAAGACATACTTTCATTTTTTTATACTTGACGCTTATCACCTTATCGCTACATTTACGTGGAAACCAGGCAATGAAGGTAAAACTCGGTTTTTGATTCATTTTAAAGTTTGTGTCTGTTTTTGTCATTGAAATTTTTTCATCTTTTGAAAATGGAATTTCATTTAAACTTTTGGCACGTTTTCATTACTTTTCAACAGTAATTCAAAGTATGTATACATCTGTCATGTTTTCCGCTATATTACTTTTCGTTAAAATGTTAACATTTCATTAAACTCTAATATTTGTTCGCTTCGACAATAATACAAATAATATGACACTCATCAAATATGACTGTCATATTATTTTTCATGAAATACGGTGGAGGGTTAACCGACATTAAAAATGCTTAGTGGATTCGTAATGTCTTTAAACATCATAAGTCTTAGAATATTTTTAAGATATGATTTTTAAGGTGATTATTATAACTGTCCGGATACTGAATGTGATACATTGCGAATCTTTATATGCTTTTTATTAAGGTAATTTTTAACGTAAAAGGTAAGAAACCTGGTGGCGCGGAGGATGACAGAGAGTGTCTTGCGTTTAAAGCTTAACTTAACGGTACTTAACGATTGATTGAAATTTGTTACTGTAGGAGTTCCATTATATTTATTTATATGTATTCTATGTAAGAATCATTCACTCTGTTTCATGCATTTGTGCGTCCTACCCTGTGGATCCTGCATGAATTTACAACTTTAGGGTATTGTAAGTATCAAATCACGTAGCACGACTAACTTTCGTAGTGTCCGCTTCAGCTATATTAAAATATGTATAAATCTATAATGTATAAATTAATTAAATAGTGTATATAAATTAACCAACGTTTATTTATAACTTTTATTTTCATATTTTAACGAAAGGTTGAGCATGGGTGGCTAAGGTAAGGTATATTATTTATTTAGGATCTGATTCTGATCTTCACAACGCTTTGCCGCAACTGGTTGTTACCCTAATACTAATTTCATTGTTAACGTTACAAAAGCGGTTAACACCCTATACTTTTCTGATAAAGAAGAAACGGTTCTCCCTTCTGATAGTTCTTCTTTTCTTCTTCGTTCTAACAGTTTTCCTAAGAGTAAGTATCAATATACAATACCGCGTATTTAATTTTAAGCCACATAATTTATAGATTGAAATATTCTGTAAATTAATGTCATTCCAAATCTCAATTCTTAATCCGCACAAGATATAAAAAGTATTGTCTTAAACCAACCCTGTATAGTCGGTAAAATAATTAGCATTCATCGAATGACAGGAAAAGGAAGACGGCCCTCTCTGCAAGTTCTACGAGGTGATATTAGACTTGGGGGAGCATAATCAGTTCCTCAATGAACTAACTTTGGCAAAGGATATTACTTTGTTTGCTCCTTCTAATGAAGCCTGGAATGAAAATAGTGTTCAAAATATTATCAGGTAAGTTTTATACCATAAGTTAATTTAAAATTATCGGTAAATTTAAAATAATCATTATTCATATATATATATATATATATATGTATATATATATATATATATATATATATATATATATATATATATGAATCAATCCTCTTAACTTAAAACAATGCAGTTATCTGATGTTGAAATGTTTTCTACTTTACTGGCTAGAATGACGGAGTACATTTTTTTGTATTAATGGAGATTTTTTGTGATTTTTGCTCAGCGTTGGTTGGAGCAATATAAAAAATAAAGTATTAACTAAGGTAAAAAACCTTAGTTAATATATTCCTATAATTTTTATATTGAGCAATAAAATCTGCCGTTGATTGCTATTGATTTGCTCTCAACCTCGTTTCTACAGATATACGAGTTGAAAAAAGATTTTCTTTATAGATCCGAGTAATAATTTGCAAGTCGTGCTTCACAACTAGATGCTTTTGTGGGGCTTATTTTGGTTCTAAGATTCACTAAGTTACACTTATTAAATGATTGGGACATTAGGATAAGTTATCGGAATACTATATCTATTTAATTTAGCACATGATGCCTTATAGTCATGTTAACAGGACTTTAAAAAAGACAATGAATAAAATTTGGGTCGCGTAAATGATATTGTTACCAATGCTTTTTGTTCTTTTCTAGAAATCATCAGAGGCTTAGAGAAATATTAAATTTGCATTTAGTTAGAGAGAGGCTGCCACTAGACGCGATAATTCACAATAACATGAACCAGGTTCGTATTTCAGCATAAATATTTATTATAAAGTTATTATTAATCAAGACTTTAAAATTGTGTTCACCAGAAATCGAATTCAGATGCATTGATGTTTGTTTTCACATTCAGCTCTTTACTCGTTAACATGAAGATGATAATTCCTTAAATGATATGAACTGATTTTATACCCAATCGTGACATATTAAGTGATGGGGTTACAAAATTTATGTTAGTGGCTTTAGCTTGGTACGTGCTAAAGCCACTAACATAAATTTTGTAACACTGGTGTTCACGCTACTGGGATTCGAACCAACAACCTTATAGTATAGGGCAATCTATGCCTCTGTGCAATATTATTGCAAAATATTAATGTTTTGTTTGATTTTATCTTCATTCCGAATGCTGCTTACGGAAACAGCTTCCTGGATCAGTACGTTGAACAATTTTAACGACTTGAAATTTATTTAAAAATTAGATACAGCCATATATGTTAAATGTGATTGTCGTACAGTGTCTCTAGCTCCCTCTGTCATTGTTTGCAGGCATGACAAATTCATAGGCGTATACACCTTTACTCCTCTAAACATAGTCTTTACGCTAGAAGCATGAGAAAATTATTATTACGTTTGCTAGATCCAAGCTGTGTAGCATGGTTGTTGCATTAGTTGGACATTTGCAACGTGTAAGATCGCTTTAAATTACATTATATGGATGTTTTCTAGATATATCAAGCACCGACGGCTGCCCCGCGCAAATATCTGTACTTCAACGTACTGAATAGCAATTCCAATCAGACACTAACGGTCGAAGGCGGCGGTGTGAACGCAACAGTCACGCAACCGAACATAGCAGCAACTAATGGATTCGTACACATAATCGACCGAGTGCTCGGCGTTCCGTACACGACTGTGTTCGAGAAGCTAAAGACAGATCCGATGCTTAAGTAAGAGATACAAAATAATTTTGAACAAAAAAAAACCGGCTTCAAACCTATGACACCTATGACATTTGAGGATTGCCTTTGATTACTCTGAGATGCCATCATCAGATACGGGTTTCCTTATCATGGATACCATCCTTGGAATATCTCCTTTCCAACAAAAAAATCATCAAAATCGCTTCATAAATGACGAAGTTATCCGCGAACACACATAAAAAAAATAAAAATATATACGGTCGAATAGAGAAACCTCCTTCTTTTTTGAAGTCGGTTAAAAATACACAAGATTAATTTGTGACTGAATTATCATGTAACATAAAATATTTCCTTCTAATAATCTAGCATAACATACAATCTCGGGAAGCGGCAAATGTTCAATCATCAACTGAGCGATATGGAGCACAGGTACACGTACTTTGTGCCGAGGGACCACGCATGGCTTAAATTCCAAATCAGGCATCCGTCTGCGTATAAAGCACTCTTTAGGGAAGACTACGGTTATTATGTGAGTAAATAATATATTACTTGCGATTATTACAATGAATACACGAAGCTAAAATAGATTAACATTTTAAGTAACTTATTCAGCAAAGATTTTAATAATAGCTCTCTTATATAATATCATTTCTATAAACTCCTTACAGCAACTAGTTTTTGCACTTGTTAGTGTTTAATCATTTTAAATTAATTATTTACTTTTATATGTTTTAGACGAAACAAATCTTAGAGCGTCACGTCATCCGAGCAGGGAGAGCTTACACCGTATCGGACTTGAAGCTGCTAGCGAATGAGACACATCCCATTATTTTACCAACCACCAGAGATCCCCTAAAGCTGCGCGTAAAGGAGTCGGACAAAAGTAAGATAATCTCTAATATATGAAATTTTCGTGTCACGGTGTTTGTAATTGAACTCCTCCGAAACGGCTCGACTGATTTTCGTGAAATTTTGTGTACATATCGGCCAGGGTGGATAATCGGACAACATCTATTTTTCATCCTCCTAAATGTTAAGAGTGGTCCACCTCAAACATTTTTTTTTTCAGTCAGTTAGTATATCAGTCAGCTAGTATATTATAAAAACAAAATTACAAATATTATAACAAGTGGAATTATAATAATGAACTTTACGATTCATGTTTGTTTAAACAGATTACTACGTTGAATGGAATGGTCACTGGATACACGTGTTCAGGCCAGATGTCGAATGCACCAATGGAATCATCCACGTGATAGACGAGCCCTTCGTGTTGGAAAGCGACATACGGGCTACGGGCAGTGCGGACAAAAATCGCATAGCAAATACATATTTCTTGCTTTTACTCTCCTATGCTTTCGTCAGGATTTTGAGAAATTAAATATTTGCGATTCATAACAATTTTTCACATAAACTAAAAGTTGGATTTTGTGAATTAAAGAAACGCTAACTAATTTCGAATGATAAGTTATAAAGCAAAATAATTCGGCAATTAATTCATTATTTTAAGAAATGAAAACATTGTGACATTCTTTAAAATACAGGGATGCATCGGAATTGTTTTTTTTTTTAATTTTCAGTTCAGATTCAACTTTAAGCGGATATTCTTGGTATTTCAATAATGTAACGATTTTATGCTTAGAACGAGTTACCATCATACTTTTATGTGGATAGCGCTATAAGAAATAAAATAAATTACTATAAGATCAAGAAATATTATAAGAGTTTGCTGAATGTTACAAGTATTTATCAACTATAGATAAGGACACTGCCAGGACTATGAATAATATCTTGATAAACATATTTATTATAGCAATAATAATGAAATATTCCAAATGTTTTACTATATATACAAACATAGATGTTTAAATTTGCTAATTGCTACAACTTATTCAATTGTAGAATTTTAAATTAACTAGAAAAGAAAATATTGAAAAAAAACATAAATATTATCATTGATGTTCGATGCGTTTGTTTTTTTTGGCCAAAGAGTTTTCAAATTATAGCCATATATTGTCTAATTCAGTGGGATGGAAATTTGAAAAAGAAATTACTAATTTCATAATTATATGTACAACAATTTGAAACTGGCTACAATTTGAAACAGACGCGTGAATCTTTAAGAAAAATACAAAAAACTATCTATGAAGATACTAAAATCACATTCCACTTAGTACGATATTTAAAATATTCTCAAATATCATTCTTGTACAAAAAAAAAGGTTATTTAATTATAACATGACCTATTTTAATTTTCATGTATATAACTCTAAGCAGATTAAATATTTATAAATTATATCACTGAAGAAATTTTCTTATTCTATTTTTTAATTTTCACGTTACATTAAATTTCAATTTTATATTTATTTATATATATATATATATATATATATATATATATATAAATTAAAACTTATTAATATTGCTGCGTGCGTAATGAAATTACATATTATATTTTAACAATAACAAAGAAAAATTCATTTAGGTTGTTTGAAGCAGTAGTTATTACATTAATAATAATTTTGCTAATAAAGAATAACTTTCGTGTAAAGTAAATATCTTATTTGTATATAATGATAAATGTGTGAAGTTGTTCATTTTTAAAAATTTATTGAAGAGTGGTGTAAATACTTACTATAAGTTATTATTAAATTTTATCAAGACTTTAGTACCGTTACACTTATTTGTATCACTACAATGAGACATTATAAAAAAATTATTCGAACGACACCATTTATGTTGGCGTAGGACTTATTTTTTAGGCAACGAATTTCGCTACAAGCATCAGTTTTTGAGACAGCGTTTAAGTTCTATTACAGTATTAAAAACTATCTTCGTGGTAATAATCAGTTTTTATATACTATCAAATCAGAAACGTTGTATTGTTTAGTAAAGTAAGTGATTTCCTCCAATAAACCATAAATTAGACCGTTATTCTTTTAGTTTACTTATTTTAGGTTATTCTTTAAGTACAAAATGAGTTAATAGAGGCGTGGATTTATTTAAACCAAAGCTATGTGCTATAACAGTATTGTATACATGTAGTAATATAACAGGGGAAATTGAATAATGATGGAGCAGTACTAATAAAGAATAGCTTTTTCATTAAATTAAATGTTGATAATGAACATTACTCTTTCATGAAATGTAGTATGTAACAATCATGACAATATAATTTTTAGGAAATGTTTAAATTTTTCCTAAAAGTCAACTTACAAATGTTGACTTTTTAATTATACCTTCAATTTATTGTCAAATTACTTAAAATTTATAACAAAAATGTACCCAAGTGTTTAATAAATAAAAAATATACATGTAAAACTGTTTTATTTCCTAGTGGAGGAACTATTTCAATTAAATTATATTAGCGAAAGTAAGAAAGTATACTAAGGCAGCATCAGCCTTGTGTTTATCAACAAATAATTTGTAAGAATGGTAATTATTAACTTTTTTCATAGGCATTTTCGTAAGGGAAATTCCGATAACTGTAATGTTAAACACGTAATCAATAATGTGTACAATTGATATAAATAAAGGTACTTTTAGATCAGCGCACTTAAACTTGGTATTGTGTTCGGAGTTTGCTTTACCAAAATGGCCAATACTCGTAAATCTGTTCCTATAACGACGTATCTGCACCATTTCCATTCAACATCTTTATACACAGGTTTCCATACACCTCCGTCAGCTAAAACTTCCGAAAAAGTAAATTTATTCTCCATAACACGCTCATTTACGCGCTGTTTATTCATAAAACAAACCGACGTAACAGCTGTTTGTGGGGCGGTGTTCATAAGATGTGTTGTGGTTGTGTTTAGACGGAAAACAAAAACTTCGATAAAAGTAAAACTAAAAAGTACCCTTGCCCTTATTAGACAAAACTGACCTTCGGTTTCACAACGTTTTGTGCTAAAATAGGGTTGACATCAAGCGGGTGGGCGAAAAAAATCCACCCAATACTATTAACACATCATTCACTTGTTGGGCCGCATCTAGCTGGGTAAGAAGAAGGATAAGAGTAAGAGCTTTTTTTTTATGCGAAAAGTTGTCAAACGAGCAGACGGTTCACCTGATGTTAAGTGAATACCGCCGCCCATGGAAATCTGCCACACTCGAGGCTTAAAGATGCATTGACAACCTTTTGAAAATTGGGCTTCCTCTTCTAGAAAGAAGAATAATTGAAAACTCGTAATTAAAGGTACTTGTTAAATGTTGACGGGCATCAAATCGTTGCAAGCAATTTAATCCTAACTGCACCGTCATCATCATCATCATCATTTCGTCTAATTGAGTCCACTGCTGAACATGGGCCTTCCCCACAGACTGGCCATATGAGGGAGTTTATTTAAATATTTAATTATAAAAATAGCGTTGCAGGCTGGGCTGCGAGTAATGGCAGGTGATTAATACCCAATAATTTATCAATATTTATGAAGCCAAATTTAATTTTAATGAGCTCAAATTAATGCATCATGCAAAATGTCCGTATGGACATTTTAAATTATGGTAAATTAATTTTTAGTCGCAAACTCAATTAGTCTGTTCAAATTTAAATGAAAATGTTTTAATACATAAATTGATATATTCGTGCAGCAAACCTGAGAGTCTGACAATTGACAACAATGGAAAAATGTCTAGGCGCCTTTGTCAGTGGTCTTTTATTTGCTGCTCCCTTTTGCCAGGCGCTTCGCAAAGTATACACTTACGATACATTCATTATTTCAAATTATGTATATGCGAATAAGGGCTTAGGTTGTTGAACAGTTATACTTTTAATCGAAAGGTTTCAGTTGAAAATAAAATATTGTAATTTGTTTATTTTTTATTTTATTTTAAAAAGTTACAGCTTATAAGTAATTGTATTTTTTTAAAGTATAACATATATAAAAAGCCAATATCAGGCTCCACCTATTTGTACAGAATTTCAAATTATAACAAACAAAACGAGCCCGAGCAAGTGACGAGATATAAAATCTGCTAAATTAAAATGGACGCCGAGTGGTTGAAATTCCTCCATAATTAATTTAAATAATAAGTTTGAACAATATTAATCTATTCTCAAATACAGTAAGCAAAAAAGCATATATGCGTGTGTGTGTGTATGTGTGTCAAATACGTCGTAGTGTGTGTAATGTTTTTTATATTGATTTAATGAATTTTTATGCATAATTAGAAAAAAAATATTAGCATTGTGCACTCCTTCTCTATATAAACTATAAGTGTGGGAAATTTCATACTCCTCCGTCCGCGTAATTTTCGTAAAAAGGGGTACAAAGGGAATCCTTTAATCCCTGATTTTAATAACCCAGATGCGGAATAATTGAAACCCAAGACTCGCGGCGTCTAAATCTATCGCTCAGCATCTGTGCTAACCAGGCCATAAAACGTATAAAAACTGTCAAACGGAGCGGAAAACGAAGCGTTATTCACTTCTAGTGTGGGAATTCTGAAATCTCAATTGGGAATCTGAATAATTAAATCGTGGAACTGAACTGAAGTATAATTTAACGCATGCAATCATGGACTGTTTCGAATTGATCAATCGGGGATTAAACAAAACTTGAAATACATTTTCAATTATGTTTATTTCCGCGCATAGTGCGCGTGCTCTTAGTACGTTTCACTCGTTTTGATTAACATTGTTAATTTATTTCTTAAAGATTACATACACTATTTCTACTAATGTTATATATAATACGCTGAAGATTTTTTTTTTTCTGAAACTATCCGTCAGATTTGGAAAATTCTTTTTGTATTTTACATCATATTTATTATAGAAGATATTCAAAATCACGGTTAGATGTATAGCTGTACCGGATGTGAATATCTTGAATATATAGTCAGTATTGATCCTAATTAAAATTAATCATTTGTCAAAAGCATTTATTAGATATTAAATTTGTGCAGTTTACGCAATTTGATAAGTTTTGTGTTGAAAAAGGAATGGAAGGATAAGTGATCACTGCACAAGGACACTCGCAACACCGGAGGAATCAACTGCGTTCCTGGCCTTTGAGGTAGAAATAGTCTGTCATAGACATTTAACGGTGGTAGGGCCACAGCCTCGGCTGTTGCACGAATGGGCAGGCTCGTCTGGGTAAGTACCACGACCTCATAGAAGACCGGTGTAAAGTGGAAGTATAATACTTTCGCGTTTCGTCGGGTTCTAGAAGAGAAAGCCCAATTTTCAAAAGGTTGTCAACGCATCTTTAAGCCTCGAGTGTGGCAGATTTCCATGGGCGGCGGTATTCACTTAACATCAGGTGAACCGTCTGCTCGTTTGGCAACTTTTCACATAAAAAAAGACGGTTCTGTGCATAGGTTCGCTGGTGACAGCTGATTATACAATATGGTTGTGCATGACCGAAAATTGTGAAG